CAACTTAACAACTTTAACAACATACAACACATGCAACGTTTAGGTTTCAACTTCACAACATGTCAACTTAAACAATGTAAACAACATATATTTTTACAACATTCACATCTTGAGCAAACAACATGATAAATCCACTTAAATAAGTAAAAAAACTTACAACTTTAGAACCAACTTTTCATCATACAACTTACTCACCATTAATGAACCATAAAACATCATTAAATAACATCATTCTAATCATTCAACTTGCACTCAATGCCACTCACTAAGCACCTAATGTCACTCACTAGGCGCCTGATGTCACACTTCTTGTGCACCCAACATAGTTGAGGTAGAGAGTGCCCCACAATCACGCTTGGCATGGCAACATCCACACCCAGCCTCGATCAGGCAGAGAGCTCTTTGCCTGAGTCACACCTAAAGCCACACGCTTTAGTGCCCAACGTGAACTTAGGCAAAGACGAATCTTTCTCCTCACATTCGATGCCATTCAACCCAAGCCCAACGAGATTCCAACCAGAGACGAGTTTCTCTCCTCAAGTTTGATGCCACCAATCATACGCCTAGTGTGAGTGAGACAAAGACCTCTCCTTTAGAACTACGCATGACGCCTTAAAGGCGCACTCGACACAATATCATATTTTGCAGTTGTGCAGAATCCAATTTTGCCCAATTTCTTAAAAACCAAAAACTTTTTTATATTATTGTATCTATAGTAACAATTTTTATAACAACACTTTTTATATGTCAAATATGTTATTGTATGTATAATAACACTTTTTTATATATCACTGTATATAATTTTTTTGTATTGTATAATTTGGTATATTTTGTTGAGATAAGTTAAATCTTTAAATAGATTTTAGTAATGAAGAAGATTAGTCCTTTCTTATCAATTAATAAAAACTTTAGATTACAAAATAAAAATTCAACAGTTTGATTTTTTTTCTTCTTTCCATTGGCAGTTATTCTGTAGAATGAAATTGTTCTTATTATAATATTATAATATGTAATTATATGAATCTATATTGCTAATCACGTCTTCTAAATGAAGATGACTTTTGGGTAGAAATTCCATGAATGCTCACAAAAATTAGTTACATAGGGCAATAATTTAGTTATACAGGGCAATTAAAAGTTTTTTTTAACAGATATTAAGTTTTGTTAAATTATATTATTAATGAAATATACTCGTATATTATATTTTTGAACATTGATTAAAAAAAACAGATAATTATATAATTAAATTAAGGTCTAATGCACCCATTAAAACTTGCAATGTGTGATAATATACCGACAAATTGATTATTAAAATTGTTATAGACCTATAACAGCTCTTATAATAAAACTAATTGATGATATCTTCGATCGTGATTTTTATAAGCAATTTACACAAAGTTTTTATTTAATTTATATAGATCTTGTATATTATGTCACATTATTTTTAAACAATTCAAATACATTTTTATAAGTTTTATTTTAATGGTGGGATCTAATCAAAACTTTTATAATTTTTTATTTATATTTCTCTTTTTAATAGTTTAGTTAAAAAATTAATATAATTATTATAAGACTGAATTTTACTTATTGTCTTTATCTTATTTTTAAGACTTATTTTAATCATATATCTCCTAAATTTGGAAAAAGATTTCCTTATGAAACAATATTAAATTTTCATTTTAAAATATGATTTTTAATATTTTTTTTTATTCTTGGAACTTGTTTCAATAAATTTATTTATATGAAAATTATTGAATTTAATCGAAAAGTTCAAAAAAAAAGTGTATAAATGTGATGAAAATTGTAAAAAATAAGTCAAAAAAACTATCAAAATATTATATATATATATATATATATATATATAATTCTTTATATTAAAACTATTGACTATAATTGAAGTTCAAACCAAAAAGTGTTATAAACATATTAAAAATCATATAAAAATAAGTTTAAAAAAAATAAAATAAAATATATATATAATTTCATATTATTTTTTAAATGCTACTAGATATATTTTAACACAATTTTTAGCATGTTTATGAGATCTTTTTAAACTTCAGTTGTGTTTAATAATATCATGTAAATAAATTATTAAGACAAGTTTCAAGTCTCAAATCAATAGAAAAATATTAAAAATTGTTTTTTAAAATTGGCAACAATAATTGTTTTAAAAAAATCAAATAAACCAAAATCAAGAAAATAAATGATCAAAATGAATATTTTAAAAGATAAAGTACTAAAATGAATCTTAAAAATAAGATAAAGGATAAAAATATAATTTAACCTTATAATTAAATATTAATTGTAAATCAATATATAATAAAATTGTAAATTAATGTAAATTATTAAATTATATTTTTATAAGAAAATTATCGTAAATAATTTATTTAAATTTATTATTCTTTTGAATTTGTTTATTTAAGATATAAATATTTTAAATTAAATTTTATAATTAAAAAAATATTTCTTATGTACTAATTCAAATTAATTTTTGACCAATTTTCACAAGATTTGGGTCCGTTTAACTAATTTTTAAAACTATAAAAAAAAAATACTCAATTCTAACCAATATATAAATAACTTGAGTAAGAATTGTTAACTTCAGATTTAAGTTTAAAAATTTACATTAAATCTTATGTGATATAATACCCAAGAACATATATATCAAATTTCAAATGATTCCAAAATTATTTAGTATTTTATTATATTATTTTATTTTAAAGTAAAATGATATTTAAAATATGTGTAAATATCTATTTTTGGATTACATATCTTAAAATATTTAAATTATGTGAAATTTGATATACATGATCTTTAATATCACATAATTCAATAGTTAAATTAGTTAAATTTGCATTATTCAAAAGTTATTAAAGATATAAAATTACATACAAATTTTTTAGACTTACACTTGATATTAATGGATCTACTAGGTAGCTTATAAGTTTACCTTATTTATCTTTATAATTTTAAATGTAATAAGATAAATAAGAATATTTTGGATATTATGTTAAAAATATTTTAAAATCTATCTTTTCTCCTCTCTCAAATGCTCCCAATGTTAGAGAAGATTTAAAATTAGATTAGAAGATATTTTGGTTCTCTTCTCTCCCCTCCTAAAAATTAAATTAATAAAAAGTTTTTTTTTTTTAAAAATTCTTTGATTCTCTTCCAACCTAACACTATATAAAAGTTCTAAGTCTCATTATTGATAGGATTTTTTTGGGTATAAACATAATGCAAACTAGAAAAGATATTTTCTAAAGTCAAAAAGAATTATAACATGATTAAAAATATTCCTAATTAAAATATAAGAATAAAGTAAAATGGAAAATGGAAACATTTTAATAATATCCTAATTATTATTCTTATACTCCATTAAATATTATGCAATATTTAATTTCATCTTTAAATTTTAGATTCTTGGCATTAATTAAACTTAATACGTTATTAATCAACGTGAATATGAGATTTTCATTTCTTACAAAAGGTGATAAATACAAAGTAGAGTATATATATATATATATATATATATAAAAATGATTATATATATATATATATATATATATTTGTTTGTGTGTGCGCGTGCATGCGTGTGTGTGGGTGGGTGTGGGTGTGTGTGTGGGTGTGTGTGTTTGTGTGTGTCTGTGTCTGTGTCTGTGTTTGTGTCTGTGTCTGTGTGTCTGTGTGTCTGTGTCTGTGTGTGTGTCTGTGTCTATGTCTGTGTGTCTGTGTCTGTGTGTCTGTGTCTATGTGTCTGTGTATGTGTGTGTGTCTGTGTGTGTGTGTCTGTGTGTGTGTCTGTGTGTGTTTGTGTCTGTGTGTCTGTGTGTCTATGTCTGTGTCTGTGTCTGTGTGTCTGTGTGTGTCTCTATCTGTGTGCCTGTGTGTGTCTGTGTCTGTGTGTGTCTGTGTCTGTGTCTGTGTGCCTGTGTCTCTCTATGTGTGTGTGTGTGTGTCTGTGTGTGTGTGTTTGTGTGTGTGTCTCTCTCTGTGTGTGTGTGTGTCTGTGTCTATGTGTGTGTGTGTGTGTGTGTCTGTGTCTGTGTGTGTTTTTGTCTGTGTGTGTGTGTCCGTGTCTCTCTGTGTCTGTGTGTGTGTCTGTGTCTGTGTCTGTGTGCGTGTCTGTATGTGTCTGTGTCTGTGTGTCCGTGTCTGTGTGTCTGTGTCTGTGTGTCTGTGTGTATGTGTCTGTGTGTCTCTGTGTGTGTGTCTGTGTGTGTCTGTGTGTGTGTCTGTGTGTGTGTGTCTGTGTATGTATTTGTGTCTGTGTTTGTGTGTCTGTGTGTGTGTGTGTCTGTGTGTGTCTGTGTGTGTGTGTGCGCGCGTGTATGAACAACCAAGAAGCGGTTATACCTTAAGAGTTAGAAGATAAAAGAAGAGATAACCAATTACATAAGTAATTGGTATAATTAATTATGACTGTATCAGTGTGACAAGAAGAGAGTGATAGAGTGAAATTAGAAATGTTAATAGAGTATTTCATTTACTTGAGTGTCCAAAAATCATCACTTAATAGTATAATAATTTAAAAATATATAAATATTTAGTTTTCTAAAAATTATTATAAAATATCATAAAAATAATAAAATATGAACTAAATGCAATGCATCATTTGTTAAAAATTCATAATATTAAAGTTTTTTGATTTACTAGTAATATACAATTTTTATACTAAAAATAGCAAAATGCATAGAAGTTAAACTATTTTAAGTGAAGTAAAACTTTTAAATAAAACTGAAATCGTACCTTAATTAAAAAAATAAAAGTGAAATCGTACCTTAATTAAAAATCATATTTTATTAATTTATAACTTAATTAAAAGCAGATTATATTAAATACACCATTTAATATTTCCCCCAGCAGCACAAAAGTGCACAATGCTTGAGCCCAATAAACCCAATTGGGCTTCTTAACTTTCACCTTCAACGAACCGTAACGGTAAGAAACCCAACGGCTATATTTTCTTTCTTTCGTTTTTTAAAAAAAAAAAAAAAAAAAAAAAAAACTGTAACACACACTTCGCATTCTTCCAAATACGAAACCTAGCACACAACTCGTCCACTGGGTTTCAGAGCAAGATTGAATTTTGACGATGTTTTCGCCTACCCTTTATCGCAATTAGGCTGAAATCGATGGGGGTTGGTGGTAATTTCTGGGACCTGCTGAAGCCCTATGCGCGCAACGAAGGTTTTGATTTCTTGAAGAACAAGCGAGTTGCTGTGGACCTTTCGTTCTGGATTGTTCAGCATGAGACTGCCATCAAGGCACATGTCAGAAAACCCCACCTCAGGCTTACCTTCTTCCGCACCATCAATCTCTTCTCCAAGGTTCTCTACCTTATTAGAATGTGAATTTTGGCTTTGGGGAAAGGTTTTGGGTTTTGTTGGACCCTTTTGATTGAATAAGGGAAAATTTGAGGTTAATTGGTTGGTTTAATCACATGATTGTGTTAAAATGTGTTATTACCTTTTTGGTTTTGCTTAGTGTTGAGTATGGTTCTCTTGTGCAACACCAATTAAGGTTAATTGGTTTAACTGATCAGGTTCGGCCTAGTGGTGGGAGATTTGGTTAGTTTGTTTGAGATCTTGTGTTTGAACCTCATTGTTGTGTTATTGTATAAAATAGAACACCAATTAAGGTTTAATGATTCAGATTTTAGTATTGAATTGGAGTGTCATTCATTGTAGTATGTAGTATTGGTTTAACCCAGCAGAGTTGGCATAGTGTTGAGTATGGTTTTCTTGAGTAACACCAATTAAAGTTTAACTTTAACCCACCAGTGTCGAGATTTAGGTAGTTTGTATGAGGTCTTAAGTTCAAATCTTATTGTCCCGTTATTGCATAAAAATAAAAAATAAAAAACTCTAATTAAGGTTTAATCCTTTAGGGCCGGCATAGTGGTGGAAGATTTAGGTAGTTGTATGAGGTCTGAGGTGCAAACCTTATTGTCCAGTTATTGTATGAAAGAAACACCAATTAAGGTTTAACCCATCAGGGCTGGCCTATTGGTGGGAGATTTAGGTAGTCTGTATGAGGTCTCAGGTTCAAACCTTAGTGTCCCCACTACTGTATAAAAAAAAACACCTATTAAGTTTTAATGATTTAGATTGTAGTATTGGATTAGAGTGTCATTCATTGTGATGGGGGTAATCTAAGTTGGTGTTCCTTTTATATTTGATGTAGACTAAACATACTTTTTGGTGGTATTGGATTGGAGTGACATTCATTGTGATGGAGGTTAATCTGAATTAGTGTTCCTTTTATTATTTATATATTGTATGTTAAGTTAGCTTGGATATGGAATGGTCACACAAAGGATGGACTTGATATTTGATGACGATGATATGGTGTGTTTTTTTTCAGTTTGGAGCGTTTCCTGTGTTCATTGTTGATGGGACTCCATCGCCGTTGAAATCACAGGCCAGGATTGCGAGATATTTCCGGTCTTCTGGCATTGAGTTGGCTAGCTTGCCGGTGCCTGAAGGTGTTTCAGCTGAGAGGAACCGTTTATTTTCAAGCCGTGTTCAAGAATGTGTGGTGCGATGTTTGCTTTACCTTGATGATTACCATAAACTTGAAACTATTTTGGCATTCATCAGCTATACTAGTCCAAATTTGCTTTCCTAATGTTTACTTGTATATATCTTATACCAAGTACGCTGTAGTTACTTGTTAGATATGGATGCAGGTTTTTTGTATTTGTTTTCTTAGTTCTTTTGCAGCTTTGGCCCAAACATGAGGCCAATAAGGCCCTTGCTTTAGGCCCCTTCAAAAAAAAATTACTTTGCATTAATACTTATATATTTTTTCAAGGTCCATGCTTCAAAAGTCACTTTTTGTATTCTTAAAAGCTCATTCTAAAAGGTCCATCTCCACTAGATATACAAATATATATATTTTTTTAAAGGTTCATCTCTAAAGCATTTTTACTTTTTTTTAATTTTTTTTATCAAAATATATTATTATTAATTTTAAAAAAAAGTCTCACAAAAGATTTGCTTTAGGTCTAATAATGTTTTGGGCTGGCCCTGTTCTTTTGGAGGCTTTTCCTGATAGTTACGTATTCTACGGTGATAGGAACTAGTTGAACTACTTGGAATGCCTGTACTAAAGGCTAAAGGAGAGGCTGAAGCACTCTGTGCTCAGTTAAATAGTGAAGGTCATGTGGATGCTTGCATGACAGCTGATAGTGATGCATTCCTCTTTGGGGCCAAATGCATTATAAAATGTTTCTGTCCCAATTCCAAAGTAAGTGACCATCTTCATTGTATTTTCTTTATATTTCATATTTTCATTTAATGTCTTGGTAATTAATTATATGAAATATGATTTTTCTATTTGAATATAGTTCTTGCATTTATGTTTGCTTTCTTAGTCAACATGTTTATATGCCAGATGGCTTTTACTAAATGTGGTAGCATGAACCTTGATACTAATATTGTCTGATCACTTTAATTCTTAGTTTTCTTAGCCTGCGTACTTGTTACTTTCATTTTTGTAGTAAGTTTGAGAAATTCATTTCATGCAGGAACCATTTGAATGCTACAGTATGTCAGATATTGAAGCTGGGCTTGGATTGAAGAGGAAACACTTAATAGCTATCTCTCTTTTGGCTGGAAATGATCATGATATGAATGGTGTTCGAGGGATTGGGGTTGATTATGCACTTCGTTTTGTTAAAGCTTTTAGTGAAGATGATATATTGAATAGGTATGAACTCGTGATAAACCTTTTTTCTATCCATTTTATTAAATTTTAATTATATTTTGGCCTTTTTGTTTAGAAATTAAATAGTGGTCATAAAGTGAGGCTTAGATAACCTGGATAAATATTTTTGGTCTTGACAATGTGTCAATTATCATTAACGCAGATTACATGAGATAGGCAAAGGGAATACTTCACAAATTCCCATCTGCATTAAAGTTGAGGAAGATATGGATATGGGTGAGAGCTCCCCAAATAGAAAACAACCTCATTGCTCATTCTGTGGGCATCCAGGCAGCAAAACAGATCACGTGAAGTTTTCCTGTGAATATTGTGTCACTAAGGATGATGAAGGTTGCAAGCAAAAACCAGACGGTTTTAAATGTGATTGCTTCTCCTGTGGTATGGTATGACCTCACTATCAGTTTGATTACTGTCTTAACTGTTAAGAAGTATTTCAAAAAGCCATGTCACTTGATTTTAAATTTGCTATTTTACATTTAGTTGAATTAAATGCTGTAGCTCAAAATATACTTTTATTTACATTTCCAATAGCACTTAATATTTGATTGGCAGAATAGGAGACATAAGGAGCAAAAAAGACTGGAAAATTGGCACACAAAAATTTGTCACAAGATTGCACAGGAGCCAAACTTTCCCAAGGAAGAAATCATTGATATGTATTTATGCAATGATAATGGTTACTTTTCTGGTAATTTGAACTGCGAGATCAGTCTTTTCAATCATATATTTTAAATATGATTACTCTGTTAGTGTTGTTCATGTGTGTTATTTATTGTATGGCCACTTATTCTATATTTATACACATCCCTTTGCAGGAAGTGATAACCTTCACATTACATGGGGAAAACCCAATGTTGAGATGCTAATTGATTTTTTAAATTTCCATCAGCATTGGGAACCATCGTACATTCGTCGGACAATGTTCCCAATGATGTCCACCATCTTTTTGAGAGATATGACTAAAACTACTGCAGAAACTTTGTTATTTGGGCAATACGAGTTTGATTCCATAGAACGTGTGAAGACAAGATATGGACATCAGTTTTATGTGGTCAAGTGGAAACAGGCAAGGGGCAGCACTGTCCGTAAAGCTCCATCAGAGGAATCCAGTGTGCAACAAGATGTCAGAGAGCTTGATGAAACGTTGGATCTACTAGATGACGGCGATGTTCCTGTGATTCATGAAGATGATGGTTGTAGTTTTCTGCTCACAGATGAAAATATGGACCTTGTAGGAGCTGCTTTTCCAGCAGAAGTCAAAAGGTTTTGGCAGGAACAGGTGTTTATTATTTCCCATTTACCCTATGCCTTGTATTTTTGCCTTGTCAATTTAATATATCCAAGCATCCTAATTTTTGGACCCTCTTGGTCATTATTAAGAATTTGAAACTAAGCCTGAGAAGTCGGAATCTTTCAAAAAATAGATTCCTATTCGGAGTGTGCATAACTACATAGATAAGCTCACACTATCTCATCAATTTGGGATACAATTCAGTATTTTTCCTTAAGAGGTATTGGGAAGGAATTGTAATGTAATAATGAAGTATGCAGGGATTTTAGTATAATAATTTTGGCAGTTGGTAGAAGAGATCCAAGTATAATGGCCATAAAAGGTTTAGGGGGATTATCATAGGGAAATTACCAAAAACGAAAGTACTTGGTAAAATACTTTCAGGATTAATCATCCACTTTGCTGGTTATCTATTGATTAGCCTCTTATTGACTCAATTAGCCACATTCTAAATACTTTTGGGATGTCCTTTTTATAATTTTAACTTGCATATATTTATATAATTAATTATCAAGAAACTTTGGTGCTTGAAATTTGCAGGAACAGAAAAGAAGCAAGAATTCAATGTCAAGATTACAAGAAAATGAAAACTTAGCGTCACCAATTTCAAGGAGTATTCAGCTAAACATTACAGAGTTCTACCCATCAACCAAAGTTCAACATCGTCAAGCAAAACAAGGAGAAGGGTCATCCAAGAATATTGATAGCCAAGGCAGTGGAGGCTCAAAAATGAAAAGGAAAATGTCAAGTAGTCCTACTAAGCTTACAAAATCTGTGAGGCGTCGCCTTTTATTTGACTAGTGTCTATATTTAGTATACATGCTTGAGTTTTGGATCTACTGGCATTAATAAGTAGATATTGAAGCAGTAAAATAGAGTTGTATTGGGTGACCTTATAATTTTGTTAGGTTCAATATAGGCCTGTGAGTATATATGTAACCAGACTAGTGCAACCCACGGGGACATCCAGAAATTTTAATAGATATTTATGTGTATTATGATGTTTCTTATTTAAATTGATATGTGAAATTCAACATCTCAATATTGTACTTAGAGCATCCACTTACAGGTGTCTTTTTTTTTTTTTTTTTTTTTTTTTTTTTACTCATTGGAGTCAGTTTACGTGACCCACATGATATCTTAAATTAAAGTTTCATATCTTGTATAGTTATATTAGATATGTTAGCTAATGAATAAAAAATTGTTTTTACAGTACCAAACTGAGAAAAGAGAGGGGAAAACTAGTAAATCATATCCAGGCAAAATTTAAGATTTGTTTAAAATTTTTAGAGTAAAATGTAATGAGTTGTTTGAGTTGCTTAAATTTGATATGATAATATGAGATTCAAGAAAGTAAATTAAGATACATAGTTAAGTAATTTGCATTATAGATACTCTTGAGTGCTAAATGAAAATGATGATTAATGACATAAATTGTATTTGATATTAAAATGAATGTGATGAAGTATACTAACATCAATATTAATGTTGTGAAGTGACATGCAAAATAAAATGTTTAAAGTAACATTTTATTCATTAAAAGATCAAATTGTTAAGCGTGAAGGTAGCATTGGAATTTCATCTAGCCACAAAAAACATTCAAACATTTAAAATTTTAAGCTGAATAATAACTACCCAAAATGATATCCTAAGTACAATAATCTACTGTCATGTTCCTTCATTCAGGCTGTATAACAATATCCTGCAAGTTAATACAAATTAGAAGTGCAAAGTTAGAAAAGTTATTGATAGTGGAAGAAAGTAAAGCTTATAGTTAATTGAGAGTATGTGATTGTCGTATATTTAAAGGCTTGTTGCGAAAGAATTTTTTGTAAGTTAAAAAGGATTAGAATTGTGAAGTTAGCAAAGTCCCTAATAGTCTAGGAAAGAAAGTGAATATATATATAT